AAGGAGATAACTGATAACTGACATCCATCAAACATGGCACGTGGAACTAGAACAGTCTACCCCAGTGAGCGAAATAAAGGGTTCAGTTCGACATTCCAACTACCTGAAGAAGGCCGGAGCGTACAACGGCCGAAACGTTGTAATAGATATGGCGACAAAGATGAGGACAATACCTCATCTCAGAAATATCGACAGATATTCCATGTTATCTATATATTCCATATATTCCATATCTTCCATATCTTCCCTGTCTTCTATATTTTCTATGTCTTCTTTATTATCCATATCATCCTTATCTTCCTATTTAAACTGACACCCACTTTCTTTTTCCAAATATTATAACTATTTTCCTTAACGTTCGTATTTTCTTGATTTCAGATGATAATTTCAAAAATATTCGAAATTTTCTCTTTCCAAAACGATAGCTTAAAAGTTAAGTTATATGAGAATAAAAAGAAAAGAAGGCATTATTTTAAACTGGTAACAGGTTGGGGGATACGGATTAAACCAAATCATTTGGCACTACGGTGATTTGAATCGTTACTCTCGATACTCCAATTTTATTATTGCAGCCCCTGGGCTATTACCAGATGGCGCTTTCGTTGGCAAACATGTATTTACTTTGGCATTGATTTTATGTTTTGAAACATCTTCAGTTCTACAAAGGCCAATGCAATAAACTCTTTTGCCAAAGCCATCTCGTATGTGTTTTCCAATTCCCTGAATATCCCGAAGGAGCTTTGCAAGAATACCATTGCCCAAATCGCCTCATAACATACACGGTGTAGCAGTTCATTGGTTAGAGTAACGGGCTGGAGGCCGCATATGTTTTCGGTTCAGCAATTACGTTTAACTGATTGAGCATACTTAATATAACATTGGATAAAAGACACTTTCCCCTGGTATAAAACCAATTATATACATCCAAGACGCTATGGGGAGGGCCCTCAAGTTTTGCTGCAAAGCAGAAACTTTGCTTTCTTGGTTCCAATCCATGACAATGCTGTTGAGCTGAGTTGTAACATTTGCCTAAAATTATTACTGTCATTAATTTTCAATATTCATAATAAAACGTCATCTTTTTATTAAACATTAATTTCTAAAGATTTTATGCGTGTAAGAAGACCGTGTGTAGCATTTCAGAAGAGAATTATAAGCGAAAAAAGGTTTTGTTTATTTTTTTGTGTATTTTCTTTTGTTTTTGTTTTTAAAAATAAAAATATTTCATCTCAAGTTAGGCAGTAAAGCAATTAAACCTCAAGGATTTTGTGAGTGTGAAAGAATATGAAAAAAAGAAAAAAAAACATCATGAAAGAGAGAGAACAATAAAAGAAAGAACAGGCATTAAGAAAACAGAAAATAACAATTGACATTGCATTTACATTTTTGAAGATCAAACTTAACTGGAAAGCAAAAAGCTGGAAAATAATTCCTCAAGCGAAAAGTGCAAGCGATGAAACTATCAGCATGGAACTTACGGTTATATCGAGCAGTTTCAAGTGTAAAATGATGAGACCTGACTGCCAATCTAGTACTGTACTTAAATTCATAAATTCTCGGTACCAAAGAGGAACGCCCATCAGAACAATTACCATGAAATTATTTATAGAAAAAATACGAGTAAACTAGGTTACCGCGGAAGGAAAGTGACTGAAGCCGATATGCAAGATCATGATTGATAACATTGCAGATTCTTCTTTGGATTTTATCCATTCGTTAAATACATAGCAGAAACACGAGACCAAATATGACAGCAATATTCGTCCATTTATTCATGAACGAATAGTAGACTTATAAATATGTAAGATAGATTCTGGTGAAAAAAATTATCTAACACGACACAAAGAACCAACCTTCCTAGCAGCAGACCTAGTAGTTAATTCGATATAACCTTCCCCCCCACTTCATGTCAGCAGAAATCGCTAGCCAGAGGAGGCGCAATGTGTCGCTCTTCTGGAAGTTAACATTGGTCATGCCGATGGAAGTCAAAAAGAGTTCTCTATTACCTATTAAAGAGAGCAGTTACGTTTTGGAAGCATCAAAATTAACAAGCCATTTCTTGCCCCCAGTTAACGTGAGAATTATAGGTCATTTTTTAGTTCAGGAAATGTATTTATAGCTTTATACTATAATCAGCATGCGTATTTAAAATCAAAGCTAGAAAAATTGTTACCCGCCGTCCAATAGATCTAAGAAACTAATCATTTAAGGAGATGAACAAATAAATAAATAGAGAATCGCGAATCTTTAAAAGCAAATATCTTTAAGCCCCCACAACTTTTAAAATCTAATGTAGCTCCCCTTCAACACCCCATCTCACCGACTTTTTTATTTTGTGTCGTCGTATCTAATATATACTGCTACTATGTTTGGTCTGGTGTTCCCACTTTATATTTCCAAATTCTTGACAAAATTCAAAGAAGTGTTTACAATGTAATCGATCTTGACCTGGTATCTCGACTTCAGTCACATTCCCACTGACATAATGTGACTTCTCTTTGTCTTTTCTACAAATATTTTCATGGCAACTGTTCTGAAGAGCTTTTTCCCTTATTCCCTCAACTACATGAATTTAAGCGTGCTACTCGATTGGCAATTAGGTCTCACCATTTTACTGCTGAACTAGCTACATGTACCCGCCATTTCTACTCTAACAGTTTCCTTTCTTGCACCTCTCAACTTCCGCTTACTTGCTTCCTGATAACTACAATCTTCACAAATTTAAATGCAACGTCAATCTGCATCTTCTGTCTTCTTGAACTCTGTTCATTTATTGCCCTTTCCTCACTTCTCCTCACAAAAAATCTTATTCTCTTTCACTCCCTGAATACCCCCCTGCGACCTAGTAGCCTTGCCTAAGATGAAATATATATATATATATATATATATATATATATATATATATATATATATATATATATATATATAATAGCTGGCCACTCGTATTCAAGGATACCCGTCTACTAGGGCGGCTCGCCAATCCCTATTGAGGACGCCTGCTCAGGCCCACCTGTGGTTTATTTTGCAACTATGGTGAGCAGATCTTCGTTGCAGTTTCTTTGAGAGAGCGTATTAGCTAGCGTGATCAGCAATTTTGAACAAAGCAAAACCCTCAAACCCTCGGCCACGATGACTTGTGACTTCGTGCTAACACAGCCATCGATGGGCGCCAAAGGTTCTACCTAATTTCACTCACAAGGACTGGGTTAATCCGTGGATTGGTCTTTTGGCACTTTCCATTGGGATTGACCCCACCCCTCACTCCAAAATGATAACGTCAGGAAGTCACATTCCTGACAATCGGCCCTGGTGAAATTCGAACCCGTTTCTAACCAATATACATACATATATATATATATATACATAAATACACACACACATATATATATTATTATTAGTAGTAGTAGTAGTAGTAGTAGTAGTATGACATTTACTGACATACCAACATAAAGCTAGCCTCAAATCAGACACTTCTACAAGTGCTTTTCAATTTAATGTGGTGTCCATTTGGGGGACAGGAAACTAAAAATACGTTTCTCTCCAACAAAATTTTGGAAAATATCCTGGAAAATGGGAAAAAGTTGACAGGAATATGGAAGAAAGATGTTCTTTGATTGTTGGCAATGAAATTGAGCATTCTAAGACAGGGAGGTTTACTCGCGAATTCGTTTTCAAATGAACTGACTTTTCCCATCGTTTCAATCGATTATCTCTGACCCTACTGAGGTGTGGAATAAAGATTAATGTTTGCCTCCACCCACTCACAGAAGCAAAGATTTGTTCATGGAAGAAAAGTCTTCATTTTCTGCAAAACCATAAGATTTACTTCAGACTGAAGCCAAAATGACTGGCCGGCGAGTCTTACAAGCAATTACTCATCGAAGAAAATGAAAGCAAGGACAAGCAGGAAATTAACGACTGCTTTAATGTGTTTAAGAATGACAACAGGAAAGGCAAACATTTTAAAGATTAAACACTTGAATAAAAGCTGATTGTCATAGAATAATCTTTATCTGCGCTAATATAACAGTGAGTGCCGATGATTATCGCTTAAAATGAAAACGACTCAGTGTGTCTAGCCGTGTGTTTAGCCATTTACGCAGCAAAAGCAACTGATTGACTTGAGCTGGAATTTGGCGCGCACACACTCTTTTTGATCTCAGTAGTTTAATAGGCATTTTAGGATCAATCTAAATTGTTATTGATATTGTTAGTGATTATTGACCCCTTTGTTACCTGTTTTAACCATTCCCTTGGGGGACCTACACTTTGCTATTCAGGTCGAGGCAACTGTTTATTACAATCACGATATTTTGGGGATTACACGTAGATAATACCATAAATGTATAACCTAATGATGAAAAGCGTTTATTTTTTAATGAAAAATCATTTATTTTTAACAGCAAATATTCATTCTTTGTATCTATAGGCTTATCATGACGCATCTTCATATATCACATAGACATAATCTTTTAATTAAATTTCTTTCTCATGATTTCAAGTTAAAATAAGACACTTTATACAACAAACAAAAAATATTTATTTTACATTGAAGTGGTTTAAAAATTTATTCACAGTTGATGGTACAGTCATTCACTTAAAAGTAGAGATCATCTATTGCTCCTAGAGGCTCACTGGCGAGACGAGACTATGAAACATCACCGAAGTTGGACACTGATATTTCAAAAGTCATGGGAAGGCACTTTTTTGTACTGAGAGTTATTGCCACATAGCTTCGACAGTTTTGCAAAAAAAAAAGCATAGATGGCGCTCTCAAGCAGCTATAAAAACGTGACCCGTCTCTCTCTCTCTCTCTCTCTCTCTCTCTCTCTCTCTGTCCAACATGCCAATCGTGACCTTTCCCGGCAATGGAGATATTTTTCCCCTTCATGACTAAACTTTCACCCACGCAATTCCTAACTTTCAATATCTTCTTTTCTTTTGCATTCATACGAGCGTATTTTTCTCCATTGTTACTCAGTTAAATAAAACAAAAGGCTTACGGTTTTATCACGTTGAAACACCAGTTCCCGTACGATCAGAAAAGTTAAGCAACGTCGAGCCTGGTCAATTTCTAGATGGGTGACCGCTTGGGAATACCAGGTGCTGTAAGCTTGAATGTTCACGTAGTGTAATGGTTATTGGCTCGAAATCATTAATTGGAGAGCTGAGTTCCAATTCCCGTTGGGTTCGTTATATTCACTTAAGCACAAATACCTTTGGGAAAGGTATAAATCCACCTCCTTCTTTCGCTAGTTATGGGTTAATTAATAAGACTTGTATCACTTGTATTATTATCTCCAAGAAAAAATATAAAAATATCTTCTGGCTTTAAATAACCTGCAAAGGGCTGATAAGCCATAAAAAACGAATCAATGTAACAAAAATATAAAATATGGCCTTATTTACATTATTCGGACTATTGTCCTCATCTTTGTCGCCATGTTTATTACAACGTTTCGGCCGTTGTACGCTCCGGCCTTCTTCAGGTAGTTGTAATGTCGAACTGTACCCTTTATTTCGCTCACTGGGGTAGACTGTTCTAGTTCCACATGCCATGTCTAATGGATGTCAGTTATCAGTTATCTCCTGTTAATTCACCTCTCCAAGTTCTCCACTGTCTTAATCGGGTATTGAATTCACACTCTTTGGGTCCTGTCACTGAATCTAACTAACGCCTTTATCCACTGTGCCATGTGTCCTTGAGGATATCTGTGTATGAATTTCTGGGTATTATAAATCTAATATCTTCAGCAACCATTTTTAACAGAGCTCATATTGCAATTTTTGTTGTTATTTTCTTTTCTCTGGCACTCCTTGTTACTGCTTCCCATACTGTATTCATTTCTATGCTTGGTCGGTTCAGGAGATTTTTGTAGCCTAGCATATGTGCTGATTCCTTAAGTTTACGAATTTCGTTTCTTTACACCCGTTACTTACATGGGCGAAAATATTCTTGCCTTTCAGTCAAACAAGAAGTAGTGCCGTAACAATACCAAATATAAATATCGTCTGGAATATTCATGTCGATGGGAATTCTTCAACTTTTGTGCCGGTTCAAATAAAAGTAAGAGTTCATGTTTTCTGACTCGAGAGGATCCCGGATTTCTCAAATCTTACGTGAGATCTTTTATTTATATTTCCTTCTCACGGTCTTAGATTAAAATAAATAAAAATACTAAACATGCTGTGCCAAATAAGCACCAAACCAAGGCGGAAGAGAATGGTTTGAAGGAAATAATTTAATCGTGTTGGAACTTTCATTTGGTGTAACGATTCCATAAGTGATCGGAAAACCTCTCGAAGGATGTTGAACGTTACCGTTTCGATAGCTGTCCATAGCTCCCTGATATTTGTACGTGCGCAAATTTTCGTGCGAATAGACTTATATAAATGCTCGACTCTGGGCGAAAATGTTGACCCCACCATCCGTTGAAAAATCTTCAGAATGCACTTCAAATCAATTCTGGGTACTGGGGTAACTTAGACCTAATGACAGAAATAAACCATCGTTGGGGGGGGTACATGAATGGGTGCGAATGATCAGGAAGTTGTTCAGTGTAAGGAGTCACAGCTCAATGGTGTGTTTAGACGAACAAGTGGGCCCAGTCTATTCCACATCTTATGCCATTATGGAACCACCGTCAGACTTCACGGTACCTTGTTGATAAAGTGTGTCCATGGCTTCGTAGGGTCTGAAACACACCGGAAACTTACCATCAGCTCGAAACAAGTGAAATTGTGACTCATTGAACCATACTGGTTGTCAGCCTCTCGGAGTCCAATTAATGATGCCACGAGCCCAAATGAGGCACTGTGCCTGATCTTGTGATGTTAACAAAGCTCCCTTCTGGGTTTTCCTCTCCAATACCGTAAAAGAAGCTAAAGAACAGACATGTTGCATATGAGCCTGGTACCTCCTGCATTGAGTGTGGATTTGATTTGAGACCGTGTCGCTTGTCTGTTAAGATAAACAATTCCAGCCAAATATATTTGGTTACAATCATTAAGGAGCTGTGAGTGACCACTGCGCTGTCTGCAGTAGGCGGTGATACCTTCGATCAGGTATTCACAGTAAACACGTGACACCATAAATCAAGAGATACCAAATATAACCACACTCTCAGAATAGAATGTCCCATTTGTCAGACATCCACTAACATACCCCGTTCTAACTCCGATGATTCATAAGGCTTTGCCATAATTAGCTTAGTTCACACTGACTCATCAAATATCATAATATAACGGATATACGCTGGCTATTTTCATGAAGTCAACGTCTGGTGGCGTTACTTACCACTGCTTTAACATACTGCTCTCCTGTGACTTTTGGCACGTCAGTGTATTTATGCTGATTAATTCAGTGTATCAAAACATTTTTCCCAATATACATATTTTTTTTTCTTTTCCGGTTTCTTGCTTTTCTGTCAACTTTGATCTGAAAAGATTTAAATGCAATGTCAATCGTTATCTTTTGTCTTCTTAATTTCTATTCTTTTATTGTTGTTCTCTCCTTAATAATGTTTTTCTTTTGCTCATCTTCTCAGTAAACCTTTGTGTCTTCGTGGCATCATTGCTTTGCTTGGAAGTGAAATGTTTTTTTTTCATTCCATTCTCTCTCCCTTACACGACTGCCTGAAGAATTATAATTTGTAGAAATATCAACAACATTCCAACAGTTCAAATCTGCTAACCTGTCGTCCCAATTCCCTGTCATCTTGAAAATCAAAAAATTTCTCAAAGAGAAAAATTCCCTCTTATTGAAACCCACAGGAATAAATCTTTCCTAATATCCCATTTTTAAATATGGATGCGCGTAGACATATATATATATATATATATATATATATATATATATATATATATATATATATATATTTATTTATTTTTAAAAATATGGTTTCAACTCGCGACATAAGAGGTCTCATGTTTCAAAACAAGAGCCGAAAACTTCAATATAATAATTTGAATTAAATTGAGTTAAAGAAAGCTCTGTTCCATCTTCAAGCGAAATTTTTTTTTGGAATAACTTATTTCAGAAATTTACGTGTTTTAATAATTGAAATCAAAATTTCCAAGGTAGCAGCTAGGGCGAATTGTTTAAATTGGGTAGGCGTGTGTTTGGGTGTTAATAATAAGTATCAGTATAGAGTTACTTTCATAGATGTCAAGTCAGGGTAAGGTGGGGGTGTCTAAATTTGAAACGGAAGACGTTTTAGCCTAGTCTGGTTTATATATATGACGTCACACATTATGAAATGGACATAGTCCAATAACTATTTTAAGACATTTTTTTATGTTTTTTGTACGTTCTTTTTATAGATACAAATATTTAATTAAATGCTCTGTTTATAATAAACAGTATTAAACAACATTTACCGGCCTGAATGTCCGAGAAATTTTCATACAAAATATGCGTCCTCCGACAGGAAACGAACCTGTATCCTATACGGAACTGTCATATAGCCTGAGGTGCGTTACCGATTTCGCCAGAGAGAAGGGTTTCAGTTAGCATGGTCAATTTTACTGTTTTTAAAACAAATCTATAAAAAGAACGTATAAACATAAAAAAAATGTCTTAATTTGTGTGTGTGTGTGTGTGTGTGTGTGTGTGTGCGGAAACATCGCACGTTGCTCAAAGCAATATAACAGAGCTATTTTTAGTTATTTTAAATACAAAATTTAAAAAACAAACAACCCCATATAAAATATGGACTGACTCATTGCGATAACCCGTTATATTTAACAAAAGTTAAATTATGTAACGGTCAGTCTCAATTCAACACAATATAATATTATAAATTAACTGATTTAAAATATGTTTTTTTCGCTATACAGTAATAAACGTGTTTCAAAAACTGAAGCTAAAAACTTTAAATTTAATTATATAATTAAATTAAAAGCATTAGTTCCGTTTCATATTTAAGCGAATATTGGAATAACTTATTTTTAAATTTACTGTTTTAAACGCACATATATATTCATAATTTCCTGTTTCCAAGGATACAGAGTAATCCAATCATTCAGACAGGGGTGGTAACGTGTTCATTTTTATTAACTATTGCTGTACCAATTATATATATATATATATATATATATATATATATATATATATATATATATATATATATATATATATATATATATATATATACATCAAACATTATTTATAGTGGATACCCGTGGATATACATTGTTTATTTTATCTACCAACCTGCGCACTTGCGAAAACTTAAGCAAACGTGCCCCCTTCTTCGCAGAAAGAGAACCATCGTCTTATCCGGTGTGCATTAACCGTTCGGCTACGGAGAGTTTCACACTCAATAAAGTTTCTACTTGCCTTAAAACACATTCACTTGTTCTGATTGTATCGAAAGCCATATCTCTTCAGTTTTGTATTCGAAACGTAAGCAAAGCAATTTCTAAAGAATCAATGGATTTTAATTTTGAATCTCACATTTTTTCTTCTTTTTTTTTTTTCAAATGTTATTTTTAATGGATACGCATATTTGAATAGACACTCCGTTTTGGGCGGGGGTTGTTTTTCTTAGTGTTTATTTCGTTTAGGGCATATTTTTTTTAGTCGTATGGCAGTCACTTGCTATTTATATCAGGCATGCTAGTCTGCGCATGCACTTTTCCCAAATTGAAAAGGTTGAACTAAGAATCTAGGTCCTTTTCGATCCGGGGAAGTTCGTCACTGTTTCTTTGGTTGTCTTTTAATCTTCCTGGCATATTTGGAATTCTCTCTCGCTGCACCAGTATGGCACGCCTCAAATTATGGCAACCTCTAGTCTCTACATTTTGGGCAATTAACCATTTGTTAGACTTGCAGGTCATGCAAATAATACTAGTTTTAAAAATCGTTCGTGTAGTATTTGGAACCACCTGGGTACGTAGGTAGCGATATAGGGGATCAAACGCAGTTGAAATCGATTGATCCGATTGTTTGAGACTATCGCAATTTTTGAGGATTTTTTTTTCTTCTTACCACGAAATATGCACCTGATGTGGGTTGGAAAATGGGTCGACCGGAACGTTGTGTTATCAAAATTAGGTGTATCAAGAAGTTCAGTTATCAAAGCAATATTCCACAAAAAAACAAAACAGATT